CCTTCCCATATGCCTGCAGCTTCTCCGTGTCTTCTCTTCTTCCTTAACTGCCACAGCAGGAAACCAAATACTTTTTAATTGGTTAGTGTATTTCCTTGTTTTTAATCTAAGAAAATGAGTAAGTGAAATATTGTATATTTCTTCCTCAAACAAAAGCAAATTTACCTATACATGGTCTCTCATGTATGTGAATCTCTAGTTTTTTTATTTTCCTTTGACATATTAAAAAAAAAGGCAGTTTAAGTCCAGGATAAGACCTGTGCCCCCTAAGGGATCCCAGGCGGGGCACTGTGGGCCTGAGCTCACCTGTCCTGTGTTGGGCTGTGACGTGACAGCTATTCACCGAGGGACCAGCCAGAGGGCAAATTCTAAACCCAGGAAGATGACATTTTGATAAAGTTTTAAAAAACGATTTTACTTTGCAAGACAAACAGCTAATAAAATAGATTCTTTTTTGGTAACCGCCCATACAGCAATCAATCTGTCACTCGAAAAACTGGTTCCCTTGAAGTGTGAAATGAGGCCACTGTGGGAACAGAGAGCCCCCGAGAAGCTTCCTCCCGAACAGATTACTCTTGATGCCCTGACACAGGGAGACTCTGATTCAGAGCACAGGAAATACAAACTAATTAGTTGTTCAATCAATACTGACTTTAGGTAGATGAGCAGGGTGTGTGTGTGTGTGTGTCTGTCTGTCTGTCTGTCTGTAGGTAGCTGTTATACTGTTTACATACAGGCATCCCACACCATCACCTGTATTATCTTTACTCTCTTTCCTTTCAATTCCATCCCAGTGAGGGGAAGAAAATGAGCATTTCCCACCCAGGGAGCAAACGGGTCACAGGGCCTCTTCTGGGCATCAGCCATTGAAGCGAGAAGCTAAAACTAAAGAAGCTTGCAACCCTGCGCACAGATTCAACAGGACCACCCCATCAAGTCACCTCCCCTCTGAGCCCACCTGAAGCTGCCATCAGAATAAGGAGGCCCTCGCTTCCCGCGCTCTGCCTGGCTGGGTCTTGTTTCGTCTGCCTTCACTGGCCTGTAGCTCCAATACCCTCACTGCTTAAAAACAAACACAAAGCCTCACGTTTACATGGATCCTGTCTATAGCATTCTTTTTTGGAACAAGATAGAACAAATGAATTCTTTCATCAGAACCTGCCCCAGAGTAGCTGGAGCTGCAGAATTCTGAATTCTGCTGCACTCCACTGAGGAGTGCAGTGAGCACTAGCCAGTAGCAGCAGTGTGTGCACACAGCCAGCACTGGATGCGTGTCAATGAATTTATGTGATGGAATCCAAAAGGCCTCAGGAAAAAATGAGATGAATAGGACAAGAACTCCTTTGAAAGAACTAAATGACAAAAAGAATAAGACGACCAACAGGAACACATCAGAGCCAAATGTAAATTCATGGTGAAAACTATGAGAGAAGTGAGAAACACCTGGATATAATAATTGGCATAACAGAAACAACAGAGCAAAGAAATCAGTGATGTGGGGGATAAAGTGAGACAGCAAACCAAAAACGTAGGCAAGAAAAGCAAGGAGAGGAGCAAATAAATGATCTGGAAAATGGGAAGTAGTGGTATGGCCTGGCAGAGAAGACTGGCATGAGGCACAAAGTAAACATTAAGAAAGAACTAATACAAGAAAAGTTTCCAGACATGATGAGAAAGCTCAGTCTAGGACTAAACACACACTGTGCCTTTCAAGTTCAACTCTGAGGGAAAGAAATAAGCATTCGCTAGTTAAAAATTTGAATTAAATAAGCATTTGCTAGTTAAGATTTTGAATTATGAAGTATCTGATAAGCTGAAGCAGAGAGAGGCTTTCCTGAATGTAGTGAAGAATGACAAGAGAACTGCCATCACAAATACTAAAGACAAAATGAGTCTCAGACAAGAGCGTGCAGCTCAACCACACGTGCAGATTTCTCCGATGAACAGCCAGGTTCTAACAAGACTTGCCCTATACAAGCAGAAGAAACTGAAGTCATGTGACATGTGCTGGGAATTTGTGTACCTTTATTTTTTATTTTTAAAGATTTTTATTTATTTATTTATTTATTTATTTGAAAGGCAGGGTTAGAGAGAGACAGAAGGAGAGAAAGAGAGGTCTTCCATCTACTGGTTCACTCCAAAACTGGCTACAACAGCCAGAGCTGGACTGATCCAAAGCCAGGAGCCAGGAGCTCCAGGTCGCCTATGTGGGTGCAGGGGCTCAAGCACTTGGGCCATCTGCTGCTTTCCTAGGCACGTTAGCAGGGAGCTGGATCGGAAGTGGAGCAGCCAGGACTTGAACCAGTGCCCACATGGGACACCAGCACGGCAGGCAGAGGCATAACCTTCTACACCACAGTGCCGGCCCCCACAGCTATTCTTTTTAAAAGCAAAGGGGCATGTCTGACGTTTTACAAATGTATAAAAGACAAAAGCTGTCTTACATAACAAGAAATTAGAATTAGAATGGACCAGCTGAAGAAGACAGAATAAATGATCTGACAAAATGTTGTCACTCCCAAATCCTGTTCCAGCCCAGCCCTCTACCCCAGACCCCACTGTCACCCTGGCATGTCCATGCGCATGTCACACACGCCCGCCCACCCCTGGCCAGTGAGCACCTCCACCGTGGAAGCAGGTGCCTGAACTGGGGAACCCCTGTCAGCACCCCTGTTCTTCTTTCACGCTACCCAGTCATGCTGTAGTCCCACTCATTTGTTTTAGTCAGCTCAGGGCACTGTAACAAAATACCACAGACCCCACGGCTTAAACAACAGAAATGTATTTCCTCGCAGGTCTGGAAGCTTGAAGTTCTTGGAGTCTGAGAGTTTCTGGGCAGGATCTCTTCCTGGCTTGTAGACAGCCGCCCTCTCGGAAGCCCTCACCTGCCCTTTCCTGGGCGTGTGTGTGTGATCTCTGCTGCCTCTTTTTAGGGGACTAATATTATCGGCACAGCCTTCACCCATGACCTCATTGAACCTTAATGACTTCCTGGAGCACCCATCTCCACAGAGAGCCATCCTGGGGGTTAGGGCTGCAGCGTACCCAGACATTCAGCCTTAACACCATTCTGCCCTCCTAGCTACCCCAGCCATGTGACCTCTCTCTTTCCCGTGGACCTGCCATCTCCAGGCTCAGCTCCTGGCCACGCCGCTTGGCTCTCACTCCTGCCCACTGCACGCTCCCTGTAGAATCATCTTTCCAAAGGGACACCTGATCACTGAACACCTGCTGAGGATTTTTACCAGTGTCATCTCATCGAATTCGCCCAGCAACCCCACAGTGAGAGGAACTCAAGGCTCAGAGAGGCTAAGTGGAGGCCGAGTATCACCCAGGGCTGGATTCGAACCCAGACGGGGCTCTGAAATGACACTCTTCATGTGTGGCCTGTGCCGTGGTAGTCCAAGTACCTGAAGGGGGTCAGGCCCATAATATCCACAGCTAGTGGTCCACAGATGAATGGCCTTTATACATAATCACAACCCAGTTTCTCCTTCTCCCTCCAACCACAGAGATCCAAGACTTCAGTTTTCCTGACTCTTTGAGGGGGAATGAGAAATTAATGTTTTTGAAACTAAACTGAAAATGTATTACTTTTCCTAATAGTGACTTCAATGATCTATCAGCAGATTTACTTGCACTTTTTTTTTTTAAAAAAAGAGATTTATATATTTATTTATTTTAAAGGGACAGAGAGCGGGGGAGAGAGATAGGGATAGAAAGAGATCTTCCATCCGCTGGTTCATTCCCCAAATGGTTGCAACAGCTGAAGTTGGGCCAAGCCGAATCTAGAAGCCTAGAACTCCGTGTGGGTCTCCCATATGGGAGACAGGGGCCAGCACACTTGGTCTGTCTTCTGCTTTCCCAGGTGCACTAGCAAGGAGGTGGATCAGAAGCGGAGCAGCCCAAACTCAAACTCAAACCAACATCGGCACGGGGTGCCAGCCTCCCGAGCAGCCACTTAGCCAGCACCACAGCGCTGGCTCCCTCCGTGCACTTTTAGAGTTAGAAATTTTGCGAACACGAAATGACAGACTTTGTCTTCATTCCCCAGTAGTGGTGGCCTCACCTCTGCTCCCTGAGGGGCACAATCCCAGCTCACTGAGTGTTCACATTGAATCCACCGGGGAAACCCTCCCCAGCCCACAGCATTCCCCCCGAGGCTTCTGAGGTTTGAGGGGGCGGCTCCTCTCTCCAGCCACGCCCAGCCGTTACTGAGGGGCCTTCTGCACACCCCGCCCCGTCTCCACCACAGGCAGCCCTGCCTCTCCCCTCGCCTTGGTGCTGGGGGAAGAGGGATGACTTCTCAAGGTCTGGCCACGACTGTTCCCCAAGGCCAGCAGCTACTCCCCCCCCTCGCCCAAGCTTCACTGTAGAATGAGCTGGGCAGTCTCTCGGGTCTGCGTGACGTCTGACTCGGACACTCAGCTAGGGGGCTGTGTGACTTTGGGTTCATGACGAAACCTCTCTGGGCCTGAGGCTCATCATGAGTACCTGGTTCCAGTGTCACCATGTGGGAAATAAACCAACTTCCTAGAAGCAAGGCCCTTTGCAAACGTCATTTCTGGACCTATGATATTGATGTTACAAGGTGTTACCCTGATTTCAAGAAAGTATAAACTGAGGCTGGGAGTGTTCGGCTGCCTTGAGGCCACTGCTGGTTCTGGGGAGCAGGTCCACCCATCCTCACAGCCGGTCCTGCTGCCCAGGAGAGGTGGGGGCATCCAGGAGCCTGACCAAGTTCAGTGCAGCCAGGGACGTGGTCTCACTCGGAGCTGCACATCCATTGGGGTCACCTCAGGTGCTGGGTTGCGGTCTAGGGGCCTGCGGGCTTAAGGCCTCCTGGTGGACAGGCGGGCAGACGCGTGCTTGGGACCACTGCTGGCTCCCCAGACACTGCCTTGCTGTGTTGGCTGAACGGCCCACTTTCCGTGCCTGCCCCCCAAGGCCCGCCCTGCCCCGCTCCCACTGCCTACTTAAGCCAGAGGCCCCGCTCGGCCCGGGGCACCGCCAGCTTCCGGAGCCAGGAGAGCAGCTCGCCGAGGATGAAAGGTGCTTCTGTCTCACCGCTTCCTGCCGGTGCGTTCCGAGCAGCGATGCCTCGCGGCCTGTGGCCGGCGCTGGTTCTGCTCGCCTGGGAGAGAACGGAGATGTGTAGTAGGCAGAGGGAGGGCTCTGATGGGATTTTCCTCATTTCTCATCCCTCGCTTGATGTGACCTTACTCTCAAAGAGGGAGAGAAGCTATAGCCTGTGAAAGGAGAGCAGATTTCAAAACCAGGTGTGCCTAAGAATACCACTGGTCTGACATGGGCTTTTTTTTTTTTTTCTCCTTTGAGAAAAGAAGAGGCCTTAGAATTTCAAGGCTGTAGAGGTTCCCTTTGCCTTCAGGAACCCCTCCTTAAATAGGCAGTTCCTGTCGTGGAATTCATGTTGGAAAATATGCAGGGGCGTTTCTAGAAGACTCTGGCAGGGAAGGGACAGGGACTGTGCAGCTAATGGGGACAGCTTGGGCTATGTGGGAGGCCAGAGCCCCTGCTGGACAAACTTCCCATTGCGAGGAGCGAGCTCCTCCTCTCCGCACCACGTGAAGACAGGGTAGGGGACCGCGTGTGGCACAGGCCCAGGGGGCTTGCGAGAGGCCTGCCTCCATCATGTGTACCTGTTGATGCTCGCCAGCCTGAGGTCTCAAGCCAGGTCAGCCCAGCAAGAGGGGGGAAGCACAGACATGCATGCAGACCATCAGCCTGCTGAGAGCCAGGAGGCAGGCGAGGGCGCCGGCAGGCCACACTCCGACTTCCCGGCAGGCGAGACTGGCTATGGCTGGGAAGGGATGCCCGCCAGGCACTTAGCCCAGAGCAAACAAGCCAGGGAGTCTGCATGGAAACAGGGGCCTTTAGGGAAACTCGGGTCACTGTGGAGCACAGTGCACCCAGGGCTCTGGCTTCCCCCTTCCCGCTCTGATCTGGCCGCTTCCAGGGCCGGCTGGTCCTGTCTGTGGCCATGCATGATCCTGTAGTGTCCCCCAAAGTTCTGGGAGGAAGGAGCATCAGAGACTCAGAGACTGTGTGACTTGTCCAAGATTTTTCAGCTGCTGGGAGGCTGGCCTGGCCCAGAACCAGGTCTCCTGGTTCTCTATGTGGATTTCTAATCCGAAGGCAGCTGACTGTTTGCGAAGTGAGATGCTCCCGCCAGCTCTTCTGCACTGTCCTTGGCTACTGGGACTCAGATTTCGGCTTCTTCTAAAGCACTTAATTTGAATGATTTGCAGTATCAGTGTATATAGAGGATGGGTGTGGCCCGGAGGGGCCCTGAGGAGTGATGATTGCCCCAGAGTGGGGTGCTAAGAGGCTGTGAGCAGGACAGTGGGCTGTGAGAGCCACGAGCGTGGATCCAGGGGGCTAAACCCGCTACTGTGGAGGAGGCGGGGCCTGGCACTGGAAGGCGGACCGAGGAACTGGGACTGTGTGGGAGGCTGGGGGCGTGGCCAGGGAGTGGCACAGGGCCAGGGTCACTGGTGGAGGCTACAGGGCAGCCAACAAGTTGTGGAGGGCAGGTCCACAGAGCGCAGGATCCCTCGGCTGCGGCAGCCAAGGGTGCAAAGAGCAGGTGGCACCGTGTTGCCCTCCCAACCGCTGCCTCTGAAAACCCCTCTGGGTTCACGAAATGTCCCCGCTGGGTCTCCCTTCTTGCGACCCCAACCCAACCCCACCGCATCCTGGTGGCCACTGCCTCTCTTTCCAGGCCTGGGTTAGGTTCCCCCCTCCCCCAGAAGTCTTTGTGAGGCAGATGTTTACACGAAGTTCCTGGGGAGAGCTTGGCTTGTTCTGGCTTCTCCTATCAGATCAAGCCCAGGCCCCAAGGCCCGAGTTCCGCGTCCGCCCCGCCCCCACCGCTGCCGGCCCAAGTTCGCTGTCCTGTGTGTAGGGCTTGTACTTCCCATCCGCAGAGCCCTCCCCACCTGGCCTCCCTCTCCAGGCCCCGCCCGCACCCCTCCGGCAGGCCACCGCACTTGGCGCCTGCGGGGACAGCCGAGCCCACACCCTCGCCTGGCGACTGCGTGAAGGGTGTGGCGGTGCCTCCGGTGCAGGTGGGGCCCTGGGTTATTGTACCTGGCTCACCTGTCCCGGGCAGCTGGCTGGCTGTCGGTTGAGTTCCGGAGACTGTCCTGGTCACCTCTGTGAACTGTTCATCCCCTTTCAGGTCCTGACTGCCGCGACAAGACGTCCCCTCTCCAGAGGGAAGGGCAAGGTCTGAGAGGCCCCTCCGCAGGTGAGATGGGCGCGGCTTCTTGAAACAGCAGGGAGTGGGGGAGGTGCGGCTCTGTATGAGCTCCGTGTTAATGTTTTCATGTGAAGAGGCGCGTGTGAAATTGTCTAAGAAAAGGGTCTGCTGCTTGGTTGACAGTTTTGAAAATCATAGCTCTGGGGTGAGCCGTTTGAGGCAAGCTCCAAACTGATCCCCTCCTGATCCCCTGAGTGTGGCTACCATGCTACCCCCGGGGTGGTGGTGGGGGCGGGGGGCGTGTCTGCAGCCCACCTCAAGGAGAGGCACTTCTCCAGCCATGGGAAAATGATTGAAGCAGCACTTTACAAAAGGGGAGGAATGCAGGTTAGCCGTCCTGGGAAATGTATCCAGGCACCATGGCCCACTCAATTATCCAAATATATGTGTGTTCTCAAATGCTAAAACCCAAAGCTGGCAAAAATATCGTGAAGTAGGCATCAAGCAGTCAGTAAATTGATATAACCTTAGTGGGAAGTAGTTTGGTGATTAGCAAGTACCAGAGAAGCTGTGAAGTTTACCAGTTCTACTCTTGAGTCTATCCCAGAGAAGGCATTCAAACTGCCAGGCCACTCTAGAAACTAGATACACAGTGATACCCCTGACAGCCTCAGACCTGGAGGCAAACAGCAAGGTCACTGTAAGAACCCACCCCTTCCCAAATTAAAGTCCGGACTGCCAGGGAGGTCACCAGGCTGCAGGTAGGAACGCCTGGGGTCCAAGGAGGCAGACACCTGGATGAGGCCAGCAGCCCCAAAGGAGGGAGGGAGGTCGTTGTCACTGGGATTTTCACTAAGAGCTCAAGGGTCTGGAAGAAGGGCACGGGACCTTGCTGTATGGAAGCTGAGGTAGCGTTATAGGGTCTTTTTGTCACTTCTAGGCGATAAAGGCAGTTGGTGCTGGGTGGTGCTCATTTACATAGTTTGAAATACATTTGCATGTCATTTATATGCAGCCTTGGCAAGAGAGGTCGAGAGAAAAGGGAAACTGGAGTTAGGTGACCCGGCTGCACCTCTCAGGGACTGTCACTCACCTCTCTGGGTCTCAGCTTCCTCATCTGTAAGTGGGAGCAGCTGTACCCATTTGGGGTGTTTGTGCACACCCGCAGTGGGAAGCGTCCCCTGTGATGCGCCCGTTCTGCGAGGCGTGAGGGGCATGCTTGGTGACAGTGACACGCGCATTGTTTCTGCCTTCCTGGTGCCGTTCTCGCCTCCCTCCGTAGGCTCCTGGCTGTGCCCACCTTAGCAAGGAAAGAGAGGGCAAGAAGAAAGGGAAGGGATGAGTTCCACGTAGCAGGACTTGGCGGAGTGCTACCCGCAACGCCGGGGTGGGTGCTGGAATACATACTGGGGGTCTGTGGGGAGTGGCGGGACCCCCAGGCCTCCTTCTTTGGCCTCAGAGTTAGAAAACAGAATCCTTCTTCAGGCAGACTCGGGGGGTTGTGAGCACTCTGTCCGCCTGCTCCCTGGCTGGGGCGAGGGGTCTGCAGCCAGCCAGGTTCACTCAGGCTGGCCCAAGTCCAGGAGAGACACAGCGGCAGAGCAGCAGGCTCCGAGCCCGAGGCTGGCGTGGGCTGCGTGGTGCAGGCGGGACGCACTGAGCACTTCGGTTAAACAGACCAGTGAATGCGTGCGTCGGGTCCTCCGCTCGGGCCCCTGCCTCACAGCTGCCCCTCCCCGCCTGTTCTTGGCTGTCCTCAGGAATGTGGTGGGCTTCGTGGGCATCAAGGGGGCGGCCTTGGTAAGACTTCTGAGTGGCCCCACCCTCAACTCAAGCTCCCACGCTCTCTCACTCTCTCCCTCTCCCTCCTCCTGACCTGCTTCTCCCTTGTTCACTGACTGCTCCACCCAGTACCTTCCTGTCCCTGCCCTCTCTCCACAGTGCACCCCTCCTCATTACACACACCTGGAAAGCAAAGTCTGTGCCGCTAGAAATACCCAGAGCAGTCCCCGAGCTGCATGCGCCTCCCTGCCTAACAGCTGCCAGCCCGGGCTGCGCCCACCTGCAGGCTCCTCACCACAGCGTCTGCCCGCACTCTGCCTCCGGCTCCTGGGTGGCCCCTCAACGTTGCCCGGCCCCTGCGACCACCCCTGTACCAAGCCAGGTTTCCAGGGCCTTCCTTCTCCACGGCTGTGGTTTGCTTTCCTTCTAACACCACTGCCTCTCTCTGACCAGGAAGTGTCCACTAGAAATTAAAAGATGAAGGCTCAGCTGCCCTCACATGGTCCCAGAGGCCCTGGACACAAAGCCGGAGTGGTCTTTCTCAGTGCACACGATGAGAGGGGCCCTCCCATCTGGCTCATTCTGGGGGCAGAGGCATATCATCATTGCCATTCAGCATGAAGGTCTTTCAGAAGAGAGTCAGGGCTGGCTCCATTCTTGGGAAACCGAGGGCTGTCATTCAGTGAGGCTTGTTTTGGCCTCAAGGAAATGGGCTGATTCCACAGCAAGCCAGAGCCTCCCTCAACCGGCCGGGGTGGGGTGTGTGATGCTTGGCTACCACCAGAGGTTTCCTTCTTGCTCCCGCTACGTGTGGGTTAACTGTGGCCCTGCTCCATGTCTCTGCAGCCTGAACCCAGGCAGATAGAGCGGCTGCCGCCTGGTATAGCGCAGGCCGCTGGGCCAGAGGAGAGAACTGGCTGCTAAGTACTCTGGCCCAGCAGTGGCAAGCATCACGTTCCTCCCAGCTCCCTGGTCAGAACGAGGCACAGGATCCCACCCAAACACTAGGACACCAGAAAGTACCATCCCACCGCATGCCTGGGTGGCAGGCTTCGGCTGCTCCTGGAGCCAAAGGGAGTGAGACAGGGTACTGTGCCAGGTGTGCAGGGAGACACAGGCAAAAGGGAAAAATCTACCGAGATCTTGACCCAGGCAAGAGGTCACTCCTGAATGAAGATGTGGCACCATCTACACCAGCAATCTGGGTGCTCAGAGCTGCCACAATCAAGGAGTAGACAGAACACCACTACCAGAGGCACAGGTGTTAGCTGGAACCCAGGGTCCCCAAAGAGCCAGAGAAAGGCAAGTTTGGTAGCAGCACTTAGACTGCAGCCCCCGGGACTTCCTCCTCACCAGCCTTGATGTGGACAAAGGGAGCTTCACAGTCCAGCAAATCAAACTCCAGATGCATCTCCCTGGGCACAGACCCAGGAAGCCCCAGTGTCCCCGTCCCCCGTTATATGTTCTGGAGGCACCAGTCGGCCTCACAGGCAGGGAGAGGCTCCCAGGCTGCCATGTGTAGAGGCAGGACATGAGGACAGCAGTGACCTGGGGTCAGAGGTCGCTAAAAGGGGCCAGGACAAGGGCCTGAGCCTTGTGTGGGCAGTGAGACCCAGCCTCGGTGCAGCCACAGGGAGGGTGAGTGAGAGGCTGCCGCCTGCTTCTATCTACTCTTTCTCACGCATGTGCTTTATTTAAAAAATATATATATTTTATGTCTTTATTTGAGAGGCAGGTTACAGAGAGAGACAGGGAGAGGCAGAGAAAGGTCTTCCATCCACTAGTTTGCTCCCCAAATGGCCGCAACAGCCAGAGCTGGGCCGATCTGAAGCCAGGAGTCTCTTGGTCTCCCACGTGGGTGCAGGGGCCCAAGCGCTTGGATCATCTTCCACTGCTGTCCCAGGCCATTAGCAGGGAGATGGATTGGAAGAGGAGCAGCTGGGACATGAACAGCGCCCCTGAGGGATGCTGGTTAGCCTACCATACCACAGCCCAGGCCGCAGTCATTGTCCGTGTAATCCCTGCATAACTTCCACCCCCCTCCAGGCCTCGGTGTGTTAACTGTTCTTTGTGCAGCAAACCTGAAGGCTGAACGTGCAGCGACTCCCTTCTGAAGCGTTTTTGTAAGCGCATTCCGCTTTAGGAAGGTTCACCCTCTTCATCTGAGCTCTCTGGCACCTTGAGATGCCCGCCCACCGCCCAGTCAGCCAGTCCGTTCCGGGAGGAAACACAGCACAGGGGCCGCACAAATGCTAGCACTCGCGTGGACTTGTGTTTAGAACTCTACTCCCACGGGAAACATGTTCCATTCCTTCCTAAGCAAAGCAGCTTCCACACCTTGTTTTGGCCCGTGGACATTAACATCAGCCTTCGTGTCAGGGAAGCGGGGGCCTGGGGAGCGAGGCGATACCCAGCCACTGGGGGACGTGCTTGCCGCTGCGCAGCCCTAGCTCACCCGAGGAAGTGACGTGCCCTGCTGGGGACGCCCTCCCCTGCTCCTGGCCACTTGGAGGGCTCAGCTCAGGCCCAGCGCCCAGCGCCCAGGCAGGCTCAGAGCACGCGAGGAGAGAGCCAGGAGGCCTGGCTGAATGCCCAACTGCGGGCACAGCCGGCCCTGTCCCGTGTGAAGAAGGCCTTGTGGATGGGGTGGAGATCACAGAGCCCATCTTCCCCCTAGAGGAAGCCTCCCCACTCCCGCCCCCCAGCCCCCACTGCTCTCGGGCTGTCTCCCGCAGGCTTGCCGTGAGCCTCGGGGCTTCTGCCGCAGCAGACTCGGTGCAGCCGGATCTGCCTGTGGAGGCAGAGGGAAGGAGGGCAGGTGCGGCTTGGGATGACCCAGGCGTGGATCTAGGTGTCACCATCCAGCCTTCCGTTTAGTAGCCCTTTGAGTCACTGGCAGGCGTAGGGTGGCCACATCTTCAAACTCAGAAGTTCTCTGGAGATGGCCTGTGTCACTGCAGCACCAGGGCCTGGACCCAGGGGTCCTGCTATCTTAAACGTCCCTGGCCCGTGCACCACCACCCTGGCTTGAGATTGGCTTTCAGTCACACACAGATTGGCTTTGTCTGGGCTGCCTGAGTTCTGACGTGGAGATGGCGAGGCTGGCCAGGCAAAGGAGTGCTCCGAGCTGCCCCAGACTGGCTCCTGTTCTCAGAAACCATACGAGGCATTAATAGCTCCCATGGAAAGTTTCTTTTTGAAAATGTTACGGCCCCTTTGGCTGCAGCCGGCTTCTGCGGAGGCCTGTGACTCAGGCTTGCACCGACAGCCGGAGGCAGACAGCTCCGACCCAGTCCCACCATGAGACACGGGCCCCCAGACCCTGCACAGCCCCATCCTAGCCCGCATCTGGGGGAACGGGGCGGCCACGGGAGGAGGAGTCTTCGAAGCCTCCAGCTGTATCTAAGGGCTTGTGCAGCAAGGGAACGAACAGTAGCAGCAGTAATAAAAATATACCAGAGAGGAGGCAGCTCTGCACAGAGTGCCGCACCCCCTCTGCAGCCGCCGTGAGACATGGTTACAGTCCCTGCTTGGCACAAGCAGTCTACGGCTCTCTGAGAAGCCGGTGAGCAACTTGCCCCGTGGGCAAAGGAGGGCCTGACCCCACACCTGTGTGTGTGTGTGTGTGTGTGTGTGACAGAGAGAGAGAGACAGAGACAGAGACAGAGAGAGACAGAGACAGACAGACCCGTCTGCTTGCACTGCTATCTCCAAGGGATGCCTGTGAGGAACACCAGGCCCCCACTGGACTCAGTGGGCTGCTGGGGGAGCCACAGCAGGAGTGCCCAGGACAGGGAGGAGCTGGTAAGAACTGAGTTTTGGAAAAAGCATCTATCTGGCAGATGAGACAGTGTCCTTTTCGTGGCAAGCGACAGGAGCCCGATCAAATTGGCCAGAGAAAGGAAAAGTGGGACTTGTGACCCCTTTGTTAGAAAAGCTGCAGGTTGTGTCGGCTGCACACACAGGGGATCAGAGCTCAAAGCTGTCACCAAGGTTTGGGCTCTCTCCTTCTAGCCCTAGGACCTGTTTTCTTCTGAACCGAACTCACTCCCAAGGTAGACTCCAGACGGTTCAGGCTCTTTGTCCTCCATCTCAGAGAAAATGCTGGCGTCTTTCCTGAGGGTCTGGTAAGAGTTCCGGGGAGACCCTAGCTCGGCGCAGCTTGGTTGTATGACCGTGCAGCAGGGCAGGCAACAGTGGATCCACCCAGCCCAAGAGTGAGGAGGGCTGCACTGGGGCCTGTGGCAGGGTCGGGGACTCCGAGTTCCATCCAGGATGTGTGAACAGACGCTACCTGATCAGACTGACAGCGGGGTGCGCGGAGCAGGAGCGCAGGGACAGGCCGGGAAGGCGAGGGAAATGCCTGGGCGGAGGATGCGCCTGTGTCCAGGGGGTCCCTGCTACAGCCCACACGCTCATGCTGGACCCCAGACCCCAGTTCTGCGTGGGCCACGGCGGCTGAGGATTAGCCTGAATTTCTCGCCGCCTCACCCTGAAAGGCATCCTCTTCAGCCTTTCTTTCTGTTCTCTGCTGAGTCGACTCTGAGTTTCAGCAGCTCAGCGCTCACGTTGCCATGCCAACGCCTTCCTGGCAGGCATCCAGGCGGAGCCGGGCTGGCCCAAGATCCGTGCTGCTGGTGGACACAGGCACACTCGGGTAATTGGATTGGAGCAACGCACGGGGCCTTTCCTGCGGAAACCTGGGGCTTGGTCCAGCGCCTGTTCAGACACAAGCCCGTGGACACGAGGAGGATTCAGGAGGTCCCTTGTCTCCAGGACTCGGCCCTGCTGCTGCCAAGAGAGGGCGTGCAGGCCAGGAGGAGTGAAGAAAGGACAGGACCAGACCCAGTCTAGCCCCCAAATAGGGCAACTCCCAGCCCTCACCAACTTTCCAGAGGCTCCCCGGGCTGAGATCCCTCAAGGATGCTACAGGCTTCTGTGGAGGGGCCGGCGGAACTGGTCTGGCTTGCTCACTTTCCCTCTGCCTGAGAAATTCAAATTCAAAGCCTGCGTCCACAAGCCCTTTGGAGCCTCTTGGCGAGCAGCGCCTGTGTACCAGTGCACCTGTCAGGCTCATTTCCCAGGGTGCTGGGGCCTGGGGGGCCGCGGCAGAAGTCCTGCCCCCCACAGCCTGCCCAGATGGGAGCAGCCTGACCAGGCCCTGTACCCGAGGGTGCCTTTCCCTGGTCAGGGCAGGTCAGCCGGCCCCTGAAGCCTCAGCCAGTGTCTAGGAGGGGGCTTTGGCTCAGCTCTGGCCTCTGAGCAGCCACGGTTCCCCACTTCCTAGGCTGTGCTGCCTACAGTTCCAGGTTAGCAGCAGGTGTCTCAAGTGCTGACAGGCTAACTGCAGAGCGTCAGTAAGCCCTTGGAGCAGCTGTAGCTACTTGCTGCTGATACCCAGGAGTGCCCTCAACTGTCACACTCAGGCCCGGCCAAGTCTTGGCTGCAGGGCAGAGGAACGAGTTAGCGAAGGCTGAGCCTCTGGCCAAACAGTGTGGACAGCTTCTTAGAGGGTCCCGAGAGTTGCGTGGCTGTGTCCACCCCTAGAACAGCATCCAGGCCATGGACTGCAGAGTACGACCAGGACATAGGAGCTCACCTCCGCAAAGGGGAGCTCAGGAGGTAGGGAAGGAGGCAGGGCCAGCCAGGCCAGCAGCCTGGGACCTGGGAGGCATCGCTATCCATCGTCAAGACCGGCGCCGCTGTCTCATGCAGGTCAGCCTGAGGCCCAAGCCCAGACAGCACTGTGAAGCCAAGGGTGAGGGGCAGATCTAGACCCCCACTCAGCTGCTGTGACTCCCAGGAGCCCTGCTTGGGGCACTGTGAAGCCCCTCACTGAGCCCAGGCCCTAGGAGTGACTGTTGGGCTTACCGGGACCTGGAAGGGCTTGAGGGTCTCTGGGTCTCCCGCTCAGTCCTGGAGACCTTGGTGCTGGGGGCAGAGAAGGGGGTCTACCTCAGACATTCCGAAAGTCTCACTGCAGGACTCACAAAGGGGTGGAGCCCAGGGACGGGTGCTGGTTTTACCGTAAGGACCCACGTAAGAGCAATCCAGCTTGTGAGGCTGGGCTGCGAAAACCTTTGTGACCTCTGCCAACCCCATCAGCCCAGCCCCATGGACGTCACTTAGCAAAGCTGCCAGCCCAGGGACACAGAAGCAGAGAGCTGGGGCGTGGAGGAGAAGAAGGGGTCCCTGGCCCAGAAACAGGCCTAGGCTGAGCCCACCTGCTCTGTCCCAATCCCGCCACGAGAGTGCGGACGAGAGAAAGGGGACAGAGAAGGGTGCCACTGAGCACCTGTGTGGCTGTGCGCCGAGCGCGGGAAGCCACCTCCTGCCCTGGCCGCTCCTCCAGAGGCTCCAGGGTTCTCTGAGAAGTTGGCAGCTCCCAACATTCAATTCAGCCTCTCCTCTTTCACAGAGAAAGTGTAGATCAGACTAATTAATGTGTTGTTGTTTGTTTTCCCTCCTTTCATTGCCCCGAGACAAAATAATTAACCACAGCACTTTGGAAACAGGCGCACGGGTGGCAGAACCCTTTGTGCCTCCTGCATCTGCAGCAGCTTCTGTGTGTGGAGGCAGCGATGGCCCCCGGAGCAGGGCAGGGGCAGCACCTGGGAGGGCGCTTCCTGTCCAGGGCACGGCTCTCGGCTCTGGCGAGGGAAGCCGGGGTGGCTGTGAAGCAGCTGGGATCGCCATGGGAAAGGCAAGGCATCGTCTGCCACACCCTAGAGGACCTGCTGGTGGCCACCACTGCCCGCTGGCCCTCAGGGCTGCCAGCACTTCAGGTCCCATTGACCCTGACGAGAGGCCAAAATCATTCATTCCTGCGATCAGCTCTGGAGAGGTAGAGAGGCCAGGCCTGGCCACTCCTGCCACTGCAGGTGGGAAGGGGGCTTGGGGCAGCTGAGGAGGGACCTCCCTGGCCTCCCTACAGTAGCCTGTCCCCGCTGAGGTCAGATCCCACCTCTGACCGGCCAGTGCTGGGTGGAGCCACGCGGGGGAACCAGTTTGAGGAAGTGAGGCTGTCTCCGCCTCTGACCCGTAACCCAGGGACATAGACCAATTCTGCTTTGAGGATCATTCCTTTGCCGGAAGTGCCATGGGCGTGGCCTGCACAGCCTGCCCGCCTGTGCTGAGCCCCCCTGCAGCCCCCAGAGCAAGCCTGTCCCCTGGACAGCCCCACCGGCCCTACCTCCCCAGCCTCAGGCATCAGGGTGCCATCACTCCTCAGTTGGTCATTTTGTCATCCGTTCTTTCCCTCCCCAAACATGGGGGCCACACCCAGGGCTCAGGCACAAGCAGACAGGGGTCCTGTCCTGCTAGTGCCCACGGCCGGGGGTGGGGGTCCGCAGAGCAACAGCTCCAGCCCCTGGCAGGACACGGCACAGTGGGGAGGAGGTCTGCACGTTACAGGCAGCCATGGATGGGACCAAGGAAATGGCCCAACAAGATGTAGCTCAGCTGGGCCTGAGGCTGAGGCAGCACTGATAAGAGACGAGGGGGAGGGTTCGGCAGAGAGCCTAGCAGGTGCAGAGGCCTGGCAGGCAGGCCCAGGAGCCAGCTGGGTGCTGGAGGCCCCAGAGAGGTGTGGGGGTGGGAGAGGAAGGAGCTGGTGGGAAGCAGGACACTGGACTCTGTCCCCAGAAACAAGAGGGCCACCAAGAGAGAGAGACCATCAGATTCATTGGGGCAGACCCTTCTGAACACTGCCCAGTGGGTGTAGGGCTGCAGCTGAGCCTGGGGACAGTGAGGCTGGGCCAGGCTGGTGACGTCAGGCCAGAGATGAGGGAGCAAGCCTGCTCCGTGATACCGGGGCCTCAGGAGTGACCAGGTGACCTCAGGAGTCTGACCTTGGTGGCAACTACAGGGTCCTTGGGAGGCCCCATCACTCCCTCCTGTTGTCCCCACAGGGACGCCACCCGTGGCCTCTGGCCACACACAGTGAGGGCTGCTGGGCCACCCTGCCTGCGCACTAGAAGGAGGGGCTGTGGCCCCCACCCCACCTTAGATTTCTCTGGCAACCAGGAGCAACTGGGGGGGGGGGTCTTACAGAAAGAGCAAGTACATGTGTCCTGGAGTCCGCGGCCAGATGGTGAGCGTGGGAGGACTCCGGACACCCGCGAGCCTCCGAGCACTGAGTCACTGGTGCTGGCCGCAGAGCCAGGAGGTCACCGAGGCCACAGCCAGGTGGCCCGCTGGGCGGAGGGCTGCGCAGACCTGCCTGCCGTTCCCAGCACAACCGTGGGGATCGGCTTCACAGTGAGTTCCCAGAAGAAAGTCAAGTCCTTGTGAAACGTCACCGGGGCAGACACAGCCCAGCTCAGGTTCACTGGGAGACAGGAGGCCCCGTCCCCACCACATCAGCCCTGGGGCAGTGGCCACAGGGGTGCCCCTGGGCTACTGAATCCTCAGGAAATACCCTCCTCACCGTGGGGCTGGCGTTGCCAGAGGCGCCGAGGTCAGCCTCCACTCATCACCCCTGTCCGAGCACCTGCCACTGCCAGCCCAGGGCTCCGTGGTGTCCCCCCGCCATGCAGCCCCTTCCTTCTAGAAGCTTCTGTTCTGTTGAAGAGGTGGCTGTGTCCCATAACATTTGTGAAACAGAACTGCAGAGACCAGGCCACCTGCACAGGACAGGAACCCCAATGGAGGTGCCAAAGCCAGGGCCAGGGCCCTCTCTGAGGAGGTGACTTCCAGGCTGGGTCCTGAGAGGAAGCGTGAGCAAGGAGGTGAGGGGCAGAGAGGGATGGACCAGACAGTGAGAGGTGGGCCTCAGCATGGGGCAGGGCTGCCGAGGGGACGCGGCAGGGAGGTGGTCCTGGGCCAGAGCAGGTGGCCCAGTGGGGGCCCCAGGCACTGAGGCAGCGGGGAGTCTGGGTAACGCCCAGGTCTCCAGCGTGGGTGATCTGGGATTCAGGAGGAGCAGGTACAGGGTCATGGGGCAGGGCAGAAGTGGGCTGGGTTCAGCAGGTGTGGGCAGGAAATGGACGCCCCTGCTGGCCTGGTCATGAAAACCCGCGCTCGGTGCTCGTGGAAGCTTTTCCACAGAATGAGCACCTGTGGGCCCCTGGAGGCTGAGCAAACACTCCAGACTCGTCTGTACTGATTTTACATTCAGCACAATAAATGCACCTGGCAGCCTCCCATGGTGGCTCCTGCGTGCCCCAGGGCGTGGACCCTGGGCGGACTCACTCCGACAGCTGGGGCTGGCTCTTGGAGGACCTGAGGGAGAGCGGTTACAGCCGGGGCCAGACCCACCTAGTCTCAGGGAGCTTCTCCAAATGTTACAGGGACTGGCCAGGGTCTGGGTCCCTGCGGCTGGTCCTCTGCCCATCCTGGAAGTTGTCACGACACAGGCTGTGCTGAGCCAGTGGCCGGGCTGTGAGCAGAGCTCAGCAGATGCTGCAGGCAAGGCCCCTGAGAGAACCAGGGAACCTGGCTGCGTGTGGGTGGCGCCACCTCCTCCCAGACCCTGCCAGCCACACTGCCCTCTGGCCCCTTCTCTGCATTCTGACCTACTTGGCATCAATGTCGAGGGCTGTGTTTGCAGCCTCTGACCCGGGCTCGCTGGCCCGCCCACCTGAGACACACCCCTGGCTCCGGAAGCACTTCCGCTGCTCCCAGCTGGCCCACCCTTTTTGCGTCCTCAAAGTCATGCCCCTCAGAAAACCTGGGCTATTTTTCCAGCAATTCATTACAAGGTCAAGGTAGCCAGTTGGAAACAGTCATGTCCTGGTGTTACTCCAGGAGAACAAAACACTTGTAGGCAAATGGAGTGTGTGGGGTCCGTCCTCTGGCCCCCGTGAGCCCCGTGTGAGCCTGCTGGCACCAGCCTGGTCCTGTGCATGTTGCAGCAAACAGGGATGGGGTGAGCTGTGGGGGCAGCCCCAGGGGCCAAATGTTCCCCAAATACCAATACAAGCTCCTTGTCTCTGCAGGCTCTCCGGCAGGCACCAGCGTCCCAGCATGGCCCGCTGAGGCCAACCATGACCGGCTGGCCAGCACTCGCCACTGACCACCCAGAGTCACACCGTGCCAGGAGGTGACCCTCCTCCAGCCGCCCACCCCCCATCCCGGCCCAGGAAAGTGCCCGCGGCTGCCACGGACACCATGTAGTAGGGCCGGCCGCGGCGCCCAGCGAGCTGCGATGGTTTTGTACACGACCCCCTTTCCCACTAGCTGTCTGTCCGCCCTGCACGCTGTGTCCTGGGCCCTCATCTTCCCATGTTACTGGCTGGTGGACCGCCTGGCAGCCTCCTTCCGGCCCACCACCTACGAGAAGCGCCAGCGGGCGGACGACCCCTGCTGCCTGCAGCTGCTCTGCACCGTGCTCTTCACGCCCGTCTACCTGGCCCTCCTCGTGGCCGCGCTGCCCTTCGCGTTTCTTGGCTTCCTTTTCTGGTCGCCTCTGCAGTCCGTGCGCCGGCCCTACGTCTACTCACGGCTGGGGGACAAGGGTGCAGCCGGCGGGGCAGCCCTGCTTGGCGAATGGAAGGGCACGGGAACTGGCAAAAGCTTCTGCTTCGCCACCGCCAACCTCTGCCTCCTCCCCGACTCGCTGGCCAGGCTCAACAACCTGTTTAACACCCAGGCCCGGGCCAAGGAGATCGGGCAGAGGATCCGCAACGGCGCCGCCCGGCCCCAAATCAAGATCTACATCGATTCGCCCACCAACACCTCCATCAGCGCGGCCAGCTTCAGCAGCCTGGTGTCGCCGCAGGGTGGCGATGGCGGGGCCCGGGTCGTCCCTGGGAGCATTAAGAGGACAGCCTCGGTGGAGTACAAGGGCGATGGTGGGCGTCACGGTGACGAGGCTGCCAATGGCCCAGCCCCTGCTGACCCGACTGACGGCGGCGGCCTTGAGGAGACCTGCATTGTGCGCATCGGTGGCGAGGAGGGGGGCCGACCCCCTGAGGCTGACGACCCTGCCCCTGGGAGCCAGGCCAGGAACGGGGCCGGCGGGGGCCCCAGGGGCCAGACACCCAACCACAGTCAGCGGGACGGGGATTCTGGGAGCCTGGGCAGCCCCTCCGCCTCCAGGGAGTCCCTGGTGAAGGCACGAGCCGGGCCGGATGGCAGCAGCGGCAGCACGGAGCCCGGCTCCAACAGCAAGCTCCTGTACAAGGCCTCAGTGGTGAAGAAGGCAGCCACGCGCAGGAGGCGGCACCCGGATGAGGCCTTCGACTACGAGGTCTCGGCCTTCTTCCCTGCCAACCTGGACTTCCTGTGCCTGCAGGAGGTGTTTGACAAGCGGGCGGCCGCCAAGTTGAAAGACCAGCTGCACGGCTACTTCGAGTACATCCTGTACGACGTGGGGGTGTACGGCTGCCACGGCTGCTGCGGCTTCAAGTTTCTCAACAGCGGCCTCTTCTTTGCCAGCCGCTACCCCGTCATGGACGTGGCCTATCACTGTTACCCCAACGGGCGAGGCTTCGACAACCTGGCCTCTAAGGGCGCGCTGTTTCTCAAGGTAGGAGGCCGTGGCCAGCCCAGGGGCCACGTGAGGAGGTGGGCTGCAGCCAAGGGAGCCCAGGCTGAACCCCTGAGCCCCCGAGCTGGGGGCCAGGGAGGTGGCAGCACAGGCACGAGTTGAAGCCCTGGGCTCAGGCACACCTGCCTGAGTGACCTCAAGCCGGTTCCTCAGGTCTGAGCCATCGGCTCCCAGACTGTGAGATGGACACGAGCTGGGGGCGGAACAGGGCAGGGAGGCTGGGAGGGGTCTGAGCCTTGGCTACCAGAGTGCTCGTGGTGATGGCAGCCATGAGGAGGGTGCTGGCAGCAGGGCGAGTGCAGACCGAGGGCTGCAGGTGGTCACAGGACTCTCAGGTCCCCGGTCCTGGACCACAGCCGGCTCACAGAGGCCACGGGCTGCACTGGCCTGGATGCCGCTCCTTCCTGGCTGGCACGCAGCTGCCGTGCCAGGCTCTGCCCACCAGCCCATGGCTTCGCCTCCATAGTCACTGATTAAAGTGAATCATAATTATTTCTGCTAATTTGGATGCAATTGGAGGAGTTTTCAGACCACAGTAATTTGGTCATTACACACTGTCTTCTGAGCCCGAGATGATCCGAGTGTCGACTTCTGTTCTCCAGCCAAAGGCCGCTCTTGGTGCTTCCAGAGTGCTTTTGTTTTTTTAAAAGATTTTATTTATTTTACTTGAAAGTCGGAGTTACGCAGAGAGAGGAGAGGCGGGGGTGCGGGGGGGAGAGGGAGAGGTCTTCCATCCGCTGATTCACTCCCCAGATAGCCGCAAGGGCCGGAGCTGCGCTGATGCGAGCCAGGAGCCAGGTGCTTCTTCTGGGTCTCCCACGCAGGTGCAGGGGCCCAAGGACCTGGGCCATCTTCTACTGCTTTTTTTTTTTTTTTAACAGGCAGAGTGGACAGGGAGAAAGAGAGAGAGAAAGGTCTTCCTTTTGCCGTTGGTTCACCCTCCAATGGCTGCCGTGGCCAGTGTACTGCGACCGGCGCACCGCACTGATCCAATGGCAGGAGCCAGGTGCTTCTCCTGGTCTCCCATGGGGTGCAGGGCCCAAGCACTTGGGCCATCCTCCACTGCACTCCCTGGCCACAGCAGAGGGCTGGCCTGGAAGAGGGGCAACCGGGACAGAATCCGGCACCCCGACCGGGACTAGAACCCGGTGTGCCGGCGCTGCAAGGCGGAGGATTAGCCTAGTGAGCCGCAGCGCCGGAGCGGAGAGCTGCATCAGAAGAGGAGCAGCCGGGTCTTGAACCAGCACCCATATGGGATGCCAGTGCTTCAGGCCAGGGCGTTAACCTGCTGTGCCATAGTGCCAGCCCCCCAGAGTGTTCGGAGGCCTCACTGGGCAGCGGCAGAGCCTGCCCTGCCCCGCCCCCTGCCCCAGAGGCAGCCACTGCCCGGGTAAGTGATGCTGAGGCTCGGAGGCCCCCGGGCTGGGTTTCCCTCACGTCTGTTTCTGTAGGAGCCGTGCTTAGCCTGTCCAGGCAAGTGCCAGCGTGTGCGCCTGGTGCCTGCTGGGAGTCAGGGCAGATGTCTCCGCAGAATCTGCTGGAGCCAGGCGGACGTCCCAGGACCCCAACGTCCTCCGGGGTGCCCGATGGCTCTTGTGTGGCTCGGCCAGGGCCAGGGTTGGGTCCCTGGCTCTTCATGCACAAGCTGAGTGAGTGGAGTCCTCTGATGGACAGATCCAGCGCCCTCTGCTGGCCATGGCTCCACGCTGTGCTGTTCTGGGCGTCTTACTCAGCAGCAGGAGTCACTGTCTGAAGTCAGGCCTGGGGTGGGAGGGCCGCCCGCTCACTCCTGCCTGTTACAGATGGCTCCAGGATAGGAACCTTGCCTACCCAGCCCAGCCGAGCCACACAGCCCCTCCTCACGCTCACCCAGCACCTGGTACGCTGACCACAATTCCCAGCAGGGTCAACAGGTCTCCCTAGCACAGCCCTCCCCCGCGCTTCTGCCGGAATGGCCTCTTCTCGGGTCCTTCTGCCCCCTGGGTCTCAGCCTGGTCTGCAGATAGGATTCACTGGCTCCCGCCGTTAAGAAAACTTTCTCTGTGTTGGCCAGTATTCGCAAGGCAGGACGTTGCACCTAAAACCCAGCCTGCAGCTTCTCTCCACGCCTGGGCAGATCTGCCACCTGCCTCCCCACAGCTGTGGCAGCCCCACTGGGGCCTGGCTGCCCCCGCACCAGGCACGACCTCCCAACCCCACAGCTCCCTCAGCTCATCTCGACCCTTGCCCCAGCCCCAGGAAGCGCTGTCTTCCTGCCCTTACTGATGACCCTCAGCTTGGTCCCAGCCCAGTGCTCTCCTCTGCACCCCAGCGCCACCTCTGGACACGTGTGGTTCCTCCCAAACTGAGCCCAGCAACTGTCCCAGGTCGCCCCTCTCCCAGGTTCCCCCAGCCTGAAGCCAGGAGGCATGTAGCTGTGCCCTGTGCTGCCCTGTCCATCAAGACTCTTGGTTTCACTTCCCAGGTAGCCCTGGGTCCAACATGTCTCAAAGCCACTGCCTGGCCCAGGCCACTATTCCTCTGTGTTGGCCCAACTGGGCCGCGGCCCACCTTCCACTTGGCCCCTCCGTCCACAAGGGGCCTCTGCACCCTGCACCCTGCTTGCCTCCATCCCACCCCGCCTTTGGCAGAGCCAGCTTGCAGGAGCTCCGCTCAGTGGCTGTGCAGCTCAGCCCAAATTTCCCCGGGTGGGTTCCTCAGCCCTTGTGCACAGGCGGGCACAGCTGTCCATCCCAGCAGACTCAGTGGGAGCAGAGCTGTGTGTGCCCTCCCCTGCTCTGGTGGCACCGAGCACAACTCTTCTGCCATGGGTGAAATTAAGGAGGCTTCCAACGGGACAGGCCCAGCCCAGAAAGGGCCCGGGACGCAGGAAGGAGGCTGCCTGCGGTCCCCGCACCTGCCCTGATCCCTGTAGCCTCGCCCAGGACAGGGCCTGGCTTCAGGCACCGCCCCTGTTGACAGTGCTTCCCCACCAGGACCGACAAGCACAGCCTCTCAGTGTGATTGTTTGTTTTTGCAAGAGAAACACAAGACAGCAGTTCCCGGGGACGTGAGCCAGGAATCAATAAATCCCAGCAAATAATAAAGTGGATCTTGGCGAGACCACACAACCGATTAAGAGGGGCAGTGGGGGTGCAGGAGAGGCTGCTGTCGCCTGCGTGCGAGTCCTGCCTCAGCCAGGCTCTCAGCACCAGGGCCAAGTCTGACACTGACACCTCGGGTCCAAGTCCCCTGCCCCAGCCCTGCACAGGGCAGGTGACAAGAGTGCTGACTCGGGCAGAGGCTGGCACATTAAGACCAACAGATGGGCGGCAGGTACAGAGCCTGGCAGACCCCAGCGCTCAGAAAGCAGCAGAGTGGCCCATGGAGGCCAACAGATCTGCCCTGAACCTGCCTGGACCCTCTGAGCCTTGGGGCCCTGGCCTGCCGCTCAGCTTCTCTTGCTCTGTGCTCAGCACGTCCTAAGCGAATATGAATGAGGAAATGGGCTTGGGACCTGGGCTGCACGAGGGACGACAGCACCACCATGTGGCCTCTTTCAGCACCGTGTTGTGTTTTTGCAACAGAGCAAATGACCCTGGGCCTGTGATTCCATGGAGCCATTCCAGGGCTGAAGACTGGGTCGGGTCAATGGGCAAGAAGCAAATGGCCGATGTGAGTGTAGGAACGGCCCAGATCCAGGCCCTACAGCCCATTACCAAGTGGCCAGACATCTGTGCCCAGGGGCTGCGCGGGGGGAGCGGAGGAGCTCCAGAAACCAAGGAGAGGCATGCTGCCCTGACACAACCTCACAGCAGGAGGAAACACGGACGCCTGCTGAGACTCCGTGGACCGGACAGCGTGGCTGCAGCATGGCCACTGCAGCTCTGGCCACGGCGGGCTCAGCAGCTGCTGCGCCGGCCCTGCTACTGCACTGGGGACAGGGCCTCCCCCATGACTCCTCCCACGTGGCCTCCAGCAGCTGTGGCCAGAGGGCCGCGGGGGTGGGGGGGCAGCTCTGGGGCCCTTCCTCGGCACCCCCAGCACAGCCCTGACAGGGGCTCCACCTTGCACACGGAGGGCATTGAGCTGTCTCTGATGTACACTTGAGATGCCCACTTTGAATGACTTTCTTTAGTGGGGAGACAGAGCTCCCACCTGCTGGGTCACTCTCTAAATGCAAGTCAGGGCTAAGCCAAGCCCAAGCCAAGGGCCAGGAACTCCTGGGTCCCAGCGTGCAGCCGGGATGCTGGCACACAGCACGCCTGCGAGGGCTGGACCGAGCAGGCAGGTGGCTGTGGCTTGCGGCCCTCCACGCTCACGGCAGCCGTGGCTGCTGCGGACAGCACTGACGCCTCGCCTCCCCACCAGGTGCAGGTGGGAAGCACACCTCAGGACCAAAGAATCGTCGGGTACATCGCCTGCACACACCTGCACGCCCCGCCAGGTATGGTCACCGCCCGAGGTTGTCCGGGGGTGGGATCGGCACAGGCCCCGGCCCGGTGGGCGGCTGCGCGAGCCCTCTCATCCGGTCTCTGTGCTTGGCCCGCAGAGGACAGCGCTGTCCGGTGTGAGCAGCTGGACCTGCTTCAGGACTGGCTGGCTGAGTTCCGAAAATCTACCTCCTCGTCCAGCACAGCCAACCCCGAGGAGCTGGTGGCGTTCGACGTCGTCTGCGGAGATCTCAACTTTGACAACTGCTCCTCTGGTGAGGCCGCACCCCTGCCCACCCGGGCCTGCTGCTGGGAAGCCTTGGGTGAGGCGGCTCCAAGAACCCCCTGCCCCTCGAGGCGGAGACTGACTGCTCTGCCCCGACGAGTCCTAGAACAGGAGCCCAAGAGCGCAGAGGCTTTGCCAGGGAGACCACAGCCCGAAGTCAAACCCGGGCCAGGGCAGGCCTGTGGGCTGCCACTCATACCTGCGCTGCTGTCGCTGTGCCCTGGGCGCTCCTCAGCGGTCCCCTAATGACCCTGAAGGGTGGGCATCCCGTGCACCCACGTGGTGTGGAGCAGCAGACTCAGGTAACTGGCCCCACGTCACACAGCAGTAAGGCAGTGCTCGAACTGGATTTGAACCCTGGGAATCCAGTCTTAAACCACTGGGATAAGAGACCAACAGTTCACCTGTGGAATTTTTTTTTTTAAGATTTACTTATTTGAAAGGCAGAGTAACAGAGAGAGACAGAGGATCTTCCATCCGCTGGTTCACTCCCCAAATTGCCACAATGGCAGGAGTTGGGTTGATCCGAAGCCAGGACCCCAGAGCCTCCTGTGGGTCTCCTACGTGGGTCTTAAATAACTGATTGAATAACAGATCTTGGCCACGTGGATGTCACAGTGGCCTCCTGGGGTATGGACAGCTCTGAGGTTGGTGTCAGAAAACCCCAGCTGTGGGCTCCTGGGCACTGGGCACCTGCTACCCTGGACAGCTGACTGGTGGGGCCTGAGGGTCTCACCTGGGGCGCAGGGAGATGCCTCTGTGTGGTGGCAGCTGCAGGGTGCAGGGAGCTTGCCCCACCATGGAACACATGGTCTCCCACACGCCCCATGGAGCAAGGAACACCTGCAGCTGCAGCTGCCGAGCTGGCTCCTCCCCCACCCTGTCCCTGTGGCCCCTTGTCACAGCCACAGTACCAGCTCCGAACACTGGGCACTGGGGTGGGGACACAGGACACACAGCAGGAGCCTGTGGTGGGGGAGGGAGTCTGCCCAGCCAGACCCCTCCCTCCCCGGGGGGGGGGGGTTCACAAAGGCCACCTGGCTCCCAAGGCTGCCAAATGAGAATCCTGGATGGCCATCACCCCCTCTCTGAGCCTGGGGGGGGCCCAGGTGTCCCTCAGGCCCACGACAGGAGCCCAGCTGGGTTGGTGTTAGCCAGCCCCTACCAGGTCTGCCTCTGCATCTGGAAGGCCTGAGGTCAGTGTCTGCCAGAGCCCCAGGGCGCCCGTGACCTCTGTCCTCCCAGGGAAAGCTGGGGAGGGGGGGGACTTTCAAGAACAGAAAACCAGCCACCGGGAGCCGCAGGCCCACCCAGAGGCAGCTACCTGAGGGAGGCCGGGACACACCCGCTGAGGCCCGCACGGCTCCCTCCCGCAGACGACAAGCTGGAGCAGCAGCATGCCCTGTTTACCCGCTACAAGGACCCCTGCCGCCTGGGGCCTGGGGAGGAAAAGCCATGGGCCATTGGTGAGCTGGGGCTTTGGGAGGGGCTGGGGCGGGGGCTGGGTCCACACGCGTTCCCATGCCCCAGGGCCCCACTACTGGAGACACACTCCAGTGCCAAGGGGCCACCTCCCCCAAGCTGCGGTGACCACTCTTGCCCTTGTTCCCAGGTACCCTGCTGGACATAAACGGCCTCTACGACGAAGATGCGTGCACGCCCGACAACCTGCAAAAGTAAGCCCCAGCCTGCTGCAGGCCGCGGGCCTAGCCCCCACCAGCTCCGGGTCTGGGCAGAGGCACCAAGGCCAGGTCAGGCTGTGGAGACAGGGCAGGGCGGGAGTCGAGAGCAGCTCAGCTAAGGCAGCTGTGAACTGTCAGCAGGCGGAACCTGCCCCTTGCCCCACAGAGCCAAAGGACCCCAGCTGGGGGCTGTGCTGCCCCCAGGCCCTGCAGCCGGCCTTGCTTCACAGCGGAGAGCAGCCTGGGGTCTGCGGGGGCCTTTCCCTAAACCAGCAGCTACAGCCACTTTGTCAGAGCTCGGCCTGCCTTGGCCCTGCTGGGTACAGAAAAGACTTTCCAGGGGCTGAGGCCTGCAGCACCCATCGGGCATGCAGACGACCCCCGCCCAGTGTCTTCCCAACTTCACCACCAAACCCAGGTTCCCATCAAACTCACTCTGGCGAGGGCAACGGCAGAACCAATTCATCACTCACACAGTCACGGCCACGGCTCCTTGCAGCTCATCCGAGCCAATTAATTAGATTATAGACTAAACTGGAAACACCATCCTATGCCGAGAAAATTATCTTTTTATGAGACGATTTAAAAATGGCAATCAGTAACACTCAGATCACTGATGCTGGAATTAATTATCAAGGGCCAATCAGGACGGGCCGGGTCCCTGAGCCGCAGGGACGCTCTAGAGACTGGCTCCACACACGGGCCCTTCCAGGCTCTGGGTGGGGCAGGGGCTCACGTGCACCCTGTGTGTGCCCACAGGGTCCTGGAGAGCGAGGAAGGCCGCAGGGAGTACCTGGCCTTCCCCACCAGCAAGAGCCCGGGGGGCGGCCAGAAGGGGCGCAAGGACCTGCTCAAGGGCAGCGGCAGGCGCATCGACTACATGCTGCACGCTGAGGACGGGCTCGGCCCCGACTGGAAGGCCGTGAGTCCACGCAGCCCCTCTGCTCCCCATCACGAGACCTGCCCTCCCCTTAGCCCTCTGGGAGCCCCAGGCTGCCCCCTCCACCAGGTCCCACCTTTGCAAGTTGCCCCCTGGGGTCTAATCAGAGCGCCTCTCTCCTCTCCCACTCAACCCAGGAGGTGGAAGAATTCAGTTTCATCACCCAGCTGTCGGGCCTGACCGACCACCTCCCGGTGGCCATGCGGCTGATGGTGTCTTCGGGGGAGGAGGAGGCCTAGAGCAGCCAGTCGCCGGCCGGCGTCTGCAGCAGGGCCGCGCCAGCCCTCTGAGCCGCAGCCCGCCCCCGGGCCCTGTCCCCTCCATGGAGCGCTTGCCCGGTGCTGGGGGAGGTGGGCAGGGGGCGAGGGGGCAGGGAAAGCCTGGCAGCCATGCAGCTGCAGCCCTGGGCCCCTCGGTGGACTGAGGACTCTGGCCAGCCTGGGGAGCCCTGGCTGCCTAACCAGTGCCATTCTTTCCAAACACGATTTTCTACAAACCTACAGCACAACCTAGTTTGTAACCCACGGGTTAGTTGAGAACCGGGTTTATGTACTCTTTGTATCTCTTCTCGAGCTTTGTCCAGAGTTCATTATTTTTGTCTGCTGCCAATGTCGTCTCGCATGCCTGCACCCTCGCATGCACGCTGCCCGCATGCCACGTGCCACGCTGTAGCCACACAGACCCCTTGCTCGGGCCTCACCCAAGGCCAAACTCCAAACACAATAAGAACCAGCCAAAGAAGCGCCCCCTGGGCTCGGCCGTCAGCTCTGCCGCCTCAGCCAGGATGCGCAGGCGGGGACTCAGGGCTCTTCCAGCCCAGGGCTCTTCCCAGGGTCTTCAAGGGCGATTGTATTTTAAAAAGAAAAACAGAAAATGTTAAAAACAAAATCCACCCTTCATTTTAAGGGTATAACCTGCTGCAGGGGCAGGGGCCCACCTGCAGCCCAGCAGCCAACTGCTCCCTGGCTCCCTGCAGGCCGCGCTGGGCAATGGAGGCAGAACCAGGAAATTGGAGAAGAGGGCGTCACTTTTTTTACGAGCTTAAAGGGGGGAGGGGGGCCTTGATTTCAGAACTGATAGATTTGTAGCTTCTATCAAAACTAAACACATCCTCTCCTTTCCCGATCCCCTCTCCCTTCCGGCCACCCCACCCCCACCCCGCCATGGCTGACAGCTCAGGAACTGTCTGCCTCCGAGTGGGGCTGGGCTCTGCCTCCCGGGCCCATCCTCAGCAGCTACTACCCTAGCCAAGCCGGGCTGGGGGGTCCTGGAGAAAGGGACAGAAGGCCAAGGAGTGGAGAGCACACCTCTCCCCTCGCCAGTGTGCAGGCAGAGCTGGCAAGGCCAACAGCTGCTGCTGGACCGGGGCAGTGGTGGGTGGTACTGGTTGGCACTGCAGGCACACAGAAGCCACCATGCCACCCTTCACCCGGGACCAGCCCCAGGCACCTGGCTCAGCACAGCAAAGCAGCCAACAGCCCACGGTCCCCCCATCTGCTCCAGGCCTACAGCTCCCAGGCGCCCAGCAGCACTGCCTCTGCCATCCTGCCTTTAAACAGCTGGGCCGCACCCCAGTCTCACAGGGAGGCCTCTGCCTGCTGCAGGTGCCAGGCTCCGACGCAAGGTACAGTTTGTGACAACCTGCACTGGCCTCCCTCCTTGAAGCGCCTGATTGCGTATCCAGCCTGGCTCAGAGCCAGCTCGGCATGGCCAGGCTGATGGGAGCACCAGGACCCGGCTACTGGAACCTCCTGGTGCTGGCGCGCCAAAGCTGTGCCTTGTCACACACACTGAACCGCAAAAAGGGGCCAGGCCCTGTGCTGGGAGGGGGTGGAACACACTGCAAAGCATGGAGAGCTTGGCAAGAACGTGCATCCACTGTGACGCTGGCCTGCCTGCGGCCCCCAGGGCCCAGAAGGCCCTTCCCTTGCCCAAGTCCTCCCAGTGCTCTCTGCCTCGCCTCCTCCTCCAAGGGTCCCGCCTGTTAGGGCCTGGCTTCATGGTGTGAGTCCCCTGCTCTGAGAACAGCTGGGACTCTAGACCCACACAGGCCCGGATCTGCGGGCAGGCCCAGCTCCTAGGCCTCCCAGGACCAGGGCTGTGCGTGTGAGCGGCACGGCAAGGCGGAGGCTCCAGCAGCTTCTGCTCCAAGTGGAGCACAAGTGGAGTCAGGGCCACATGTGTGCCTCCCTCCTGACTCCCAGGTGGCCTCAGGCAAGTCACAGCGCCCCGTGCCTCGGTCATTTTCTGTCATCACAAGGTCACCTCTGCCCAGCCAGGTCCTGGGTCCAGAGGAGGGACATCCGCCTACCAGCCCCGTCCTATCCCTCCACGCCATGCCTGCAGACTCCAGGGCTTGTGTACAAGCCAGGCTTTTCCACTTCCATTTTTTAAAAAAAACAAACTGCCGGGATCTCAGACTCTATGGCATCCAAGTCCTGGGAGGGAGGGGACACAGGGGCCACCCAGGCCCCAGACCAAGGCTCCGTCCGCCCTGGCTCAGGCTCGAGAGGCCATGAGGCACTGGGTCAGCCTGGGAAAGAAGCATTCATTTCCATTTGTCCACACCCACCCTGAGTTTTCAGTATTTAGCCCTGATGCTTTTTAACTATTGTATTAACTTGCTGAGATTTAGAAATACTGTTTTAAAAAAGGAAAAAAAGAAGCCTTTTTTAATTTCTGTATTTTTTTCTGTATTGTATCTTCATGGGACATTAGGGGTTTTATATGGTAAGCACACCTAAGGTTTTGGTAAAAACATTATCAAATATATATGTAGACGATTCTTCCCTAGAAGAGAAACGATCTTTACACGTGATGAAATATTTTGAAAGAGAGGTGGTTTTTGTCCTTTACTGGTGCTGAAAGGAAGGATGGATACCGAGGAGAATAAAACTGTGAGGCTCAAGGCCAGTGTTCTGCATTTATTTGAGCGCCAAGCTGGGGCCTAGCCCTGCCCTGACTCCAGACCCAGGAGCTAAGCAGCCTGGGGTGGGCCGTGGGGGGAAGACTGTCGGGGGACAGCCTTTCCTGCCCCCAGCCACCAGATAGACAGCCCTAGCCTGCCCAGAAAAGCTAGGCCTCCAAGCCATCTGAGTTCGTTTTTTGGCTCAGCATCTCCTGTTTCCTCCAAGAACTGGGAGCCCAGCTGCAAAAGGGCAGCTTGTGTGTGGCCACCTTGCCTGGGACCCCACCCACCCAAGACTTCCGAGGGGGTGGTAAGGGGCCCTCTGACACCTGGGGGACCCATGGGACGGGGCCACACCTCCCACTCCCTGTTCTGAGGGCTGCTTTCCTGGTCTGCACCTCAGTGACTGCCTCAGAGCAGTCTGCCAGAAGCCTGGTGCTTAGTGGGGGACTGAATGACCGCGCAGGTAACCTGGGTGAACCCTGTCCTTTCAGCCAGGCCCTGCCAGGGTCTTCAGGGCCTGGGACCCAGATGTCCCCCCGGAAGCAGGCAGGTGAAGAAGGTTCCTCCATCAGCACTGCCCAGCTCAGGAGCCATGGGGACTGCCCCACCTGTCCCCCCCAGGGAGACCCTTATGCTTCTGGGGCGGGAGACAGGGAGCATCGCCTGGGAGCTTTCTCCGTGCCATACATAAGCATGGCGGTCTCCTGGCCTCTCCACCCTTCAGATTCAGTTACCAGCCCTTGGCGCTGGCCAGCTTGGAGCCAGCAGTGCGAAGGTACGGAAGTGGAAGAGGCTGTGTATTTGGGGGGTGGTCAAGGTGCCACCTGGGATGTGTGCATCCCATATCAGAGTGTCTGGACCTGTGTCCTGGCTCTGCTTCCAATTCTAGCTTCCTTATGCTAATGCACACCCTGGGAGGCAGCAGGTAATGGCTCAAGTACTTGGGTCCCTGACACCTACCTGAGAGATCCCCATGGCTTTGGCCTGTGCCCGCCCTGGCTGTTGTGGGCATTTGGGGAATGAACAAGCAAGCAGATTGATCTCTCTGCCTTTCAAATAATAAAGATCAAAATTTTAAAAGGAAGAGGTCTCCCCTGCACCCTGGGGCCGGGCAGGCCCAGGAGGAGAGGTGCACCCTCGGGGTTCCCTCCCCCAGAAAGCCACACCCACTCAGAGTCCCGGCCACTTTATTTCTCAACAAGCGAGTCTCAAACCTGGACGTCTACAGGACTGAATTCCATGGTGATGTCTCCGGTGTGGGGCAGAAACTCCACAGCATAGTGGACGGTCCGGGGTCCCTCCAGTGGCACTCTGGGGTCCAGCGGGGTACGGAAGAAGTATACGGCCTGCTTGCAGTGGGGGTTCCAGCAGCAGTCCCCCTGTGAGGGGAGCAGCAAGGGGACACTGAGGGCGCCCTGACACATGGGCCACCTGCCCGCCCAGGCACCAACCCAGGGCCGTGGAGGAGTTACTCAGCCTGAGGAACACAAGACAGGGCGCAAGGTCCTGGCACCTGCTCTCAGGCAGAGCCAGCCCTACCTGGTCCTCTGCAGGCTGCAGGAGGCCGGTGCTGACCGTGTGGTCTGGTGTGAGGTGGTATTCCATCCAGAGGACAGCTCCATGGCTCCTTCCGGGCCTGCGGGCAGGGGGTTGAGACAAGCAGAAACATGAGATGGGTGGCACAGCCATGGCCCCCTCTACTGCCCAGAAACCCCTGATCGTCCCATCTCTATCCTGCACAGCTGGGAACTCCTGAACCCACCTGACCGAGAGCCATGCAGGGAGCGCTGAGCAAGAACAGCCGCAGCCCCAGGCCCTGCTTGCTCCTCGAAGCCTGGCCAAGCACTCGGTGCACCTGGGCAGGGCCAGCCCCTCAGAACGCAGCTCTGGCACCAAGGCTGGAGACCCCAGCCAGAAGCTCAGGCTTGGAGCCCTGGGTTCCTGTGCTTGCTCTGGGCTCTGTTCTGTGAAGGGGCTGGCGCTGGATGGACCTGACCCTGCCTTGTAGCGAGCAGCTCTCACAATTCCTAACCTGCTTCAGTTCCCAGGAGAGTTTAGGAAAATGGGCTGATGGGTAACCATGGTAACCAAGTTCACATTTCTCTGCAGCTGTGATCCAACAAAGGCGCTCAGACGCAGGTGAGCAAAGCCCACTCGGGGACCCCTGCTGGCCCCCACCAGAGGCTGGGAGCCACCGCACCACAGGGCCAGACACAGCCGAGGCAGCCCCCATCTGCAAGGCCCACAGTCACAGCCTCCCTGGCCAGTGGGCTTCTCCTGCAGGCAAGTCCTCCTGAGGGTAGCTGTCCCAGCCGCCTTCCCAGACCCACACTCACCTCTGGAGCTCCAAGGAGCCCTCGGCACGCAGAGGCTGCTGAGGCACCGGCTGTCGGAAATCAAAGCTCAGGATCTGCTGGGCTGGGGACAGGCTGCGGCAGGGGTACTCCCACAGCGGGTGGGGCTCGGCCTCCTTGCTTTCCCGGAAGTCCAGGGCACGCTGGGAGGAGAAGGGGATTTGAGGGTCTGCAGAGAACTGGCAGCTCCAGGGCTCACGCCAGAGGCACCCTCCCCTCCAGGATGGGCAGTCGCATGGGCGGGCCTCGCAGGATGCCCATTGCCTGTCAAGGCAGCGGCTTCTTCCCTGCCCTCCTGTAGCTGGTGCCTCAGCACCTGCGCCCTCTGAGCCCTACTTTCTCCATCATGAGAATGGATGGCAATGCCTCTTGCTTGAGCAATGCTGGTGACCAAATGCTTACACCCGTGAAACCTGCAATGCTGGCCACTCACCCACCCACGGCCGCTACAGCTGTGCCATCAGGGGCAGAGGCTCGGGGCTGGAGGGAGAGACAGTCAGCCAGGTGGGAACAGGGAGCTGCAGACTGTCCTGAGGGAACAAGCAGAAGGGCCACGAGGAAGGAACATGGACAGCGCCAAGTGGGAGCAGGGTGGAGGCAGCAGTGCTGCGCAGGGCAGGGGGGCACAATGCAGGCTCTGCCCTCGGCTCTGAGTGGAGGACGGCAGGGGCTCCATGGGAACCTGACCAACCACTACCAGGGGACAGAGGAGCTGCAGGGCGGAGCCTGGCCCAAGCATGGCAGGCGGGAGTGAGAAGAAGCTGGGTCACAGGCAGGCAGCCCTGGGAGGGGCCAGGCTTGGGATTGGGCACGTATGGGGGATGCCTGCAGGTCACTGCCCACCGCCCAGGGGAGGCGTCCAGCACCCTGGCCATGTGCTCTGAGCATAGGGGAGATGCAGACACGGGATGGGGACGGTCAGGGAGAGCTCAGGAGCAAGGGTCTGAGAGAGACCCAGAGCACAGGCCTCTTGGGGTGGAAGGGTGAGAGGAGCCCAGGTGTGTGTGTGTGTGTGTGTGTGTGTGTGTGTGCGTGCACATCTTGGCAGAAGAACTTTCTGGAAATGTGGAACAGTCACGCTGGTGGTCTGCTGGGAGAGATGGGTCAAACAGCCACTGTGTTTACTGACTTTAAAAAACAGGAGCCGGCACTGTGGCATAGCACTCATATGGATGCTGGTTTGAGTCCTGGCTGCTCCACTTCTGATCCAGCTCCCTGCAAATGTGCCTGGGAAGGCATTGGAAAATGGCCTGAGTGCTTGGGTACCTGCACCAATGTGGGAGACCCAGAAGAAGCTCCTGGCTTTGAATCGGCCCAGCTCTGGCCATTGCAGCCATTTGGGAGTGAACCAGCAGATGGGAGACCTCTTTCTCTGTCTGCCTCTGCCTTTCTGTAACTCTGCCTTCTAAATACATAAAAAAAATCTTTAAATTAAAAAAAAAAAAGGTGCACACGTGGTGCATGGTCACAGCAAAGCAGGCCAAGCTGCCGCTCGGGGCACCCCTATCTCACACTGGAGTGCCGGAGGAGTCCAGTCACTCCCTGCTTCTGACCCAGCCCCCTGCTAATGCACCAGGGGGCAGCAAGCACTGGCCCAGATCCTCAGGCCCTGCCACCCACGTGGGAGACCCTGGCTTTGGTCTGGTTGTTGTGGCTATGTGGGGAGTGAACCAACAGATGGACAATTTCTGCTACTCTGCCTTTCAAATAAATATTAGTAAATCTTAAAACAAAAACAAAAATCAAACCTCACACTAGCAATCCACTTTCATACAAAAAATGTGAGCTCTGGATAAGCAAGAGGAGGGGCAGGTGGGCCCCTGAGGAGCCTGCGGGCAGTGCACAGTGCCCACTGCGCACCATGGACTTCTTCACCACGCGGACCAGCCCTGGGCTCCTCGCCTCGCCTCTCTCCTGCAGAAGATCACGACTCCTGCCAGTCGTCACAGATCCTGACACCACTGTGCAGCGGCGGCTGCCCTAGGCTCTGGGGATGCGGACCCTGGCAGCTGACCCAGTCCCTGCTGCTGGAAGCTCAGGGCGGTGCCAATGTGGAGGTCGCCCTGCAGGGCCCTCCTTACCTGTCCTTCCCCTGAATGGAAACCACTGCCTCAGGTCACTGGGTTGCCTGGGAAGCTGCCCGACAGAGCACGACGGCTCTCAGCGAACACTCTCGGCGGTGAGAGCAGGATGGAGAGCCCTGCCCTCCCTGCCCCAAACAGAGCAGCTCTCTATACACTGCCTCCTGTCTGAGCGACAGCCTGCACGGTAGCCACAGGACACTGTCAGGGGCCCGAGGCCCCGTGGGGTGGGCGGGTGGGACGCTGCTCAGAGCCGTGGCCCTGGCCTACCTGAATCATGTCGTCCATGATGTGCACGTCAAAGCCTTCGCAGTCACCACAGGGGCTCCGGATCCGCCACAGGTCCTGTGGGGAAGGTGCAGCCCTGACTACACCCACCTGCCTGATCACACAGATGTCTACACCTACCCGGGCGCGAGACGGGTGAGGAGGACCCAGATGAGACATCCCCAGGTTGAAAAGACTCACACTGCAGACCCAAGATGGGCTCTGCCAGTTCCTCAGGACGCCGCGACCCCCTCGGTGGGGACAATCCACCAGCGTGACCAGGCTTGGGGCTGGC